TTTTTTCTTTAATGGTTTCCCTTGTAAATGCCCAGAGTTATTGGGCATTGGGCAGAATAAAATTTTAATATGATAGTTATTCAGTTTCATTTTCTTTCCTACTTAACTTTTAGGAGCATGTGGATTAAAATAAATTTCTTAGAAGGAAAGCTTACAGACATTTAAAAGGAGAGTGATTTGATTTTTAATTGCTTAGCCACTTGTTGCATTAATTTTATTTTAAATATGGTAGGTCTTTCTATTTCTTTTTGCTGTCATCTAGTGGTTGCCGGGATTTTTTTCAGATCAGATACAGTATCATAACTGTAACTAGTAGTCTTCTATTATTATCTTTTTCTATGGGAAAAATATATTGCCAAATATATTGCTTTTGATTGGAAATATATATAAAAGTACTAAAGATTAGTAAAGTATTCATTGTCTGCTTGAAGCGACATTACATTTTCCCAAAAGAATATTTTGCCATTAAATACATGCTATTGATTTCCTTTTTAAAGAAACAATCAACTTGATCAACTGCAAATGAGAATTGTTCTAAAGTATGTTCCTTTTCTTTTTGTCCAGTGACAGTTATTAGTCGGTTCTGTCTATCATTTGTCAAATTTATTTCAAACATTGTGTTCTGTTAATGTCTGAATGAATAGCTTTTTTTCTTCACAGCTGGTAAATGTCAATAGTAAGCAGAAAAATTCACCTAATGTATTCTCTAGACTGCTATAGTACCTGTGATGGATACAAGGGGGAGGGGGGGAGCTTTGGGATTAATTCATCCCGTTTTTGTTCAAGGAAGATGTAAATAAATTGCCTGCTCTCCTCTCTGAAAATAATGCCAGAAAAAGACATGGATTAGCTTCTTCTCTTTTCAAGCAATCTCAGGAAGTTGTACAATTTAGGTTCACAGAAATTAGGTGCCATTTGAAGGGGATAAAAAAGAGGCATACATGGTAAGGTCAAATGGGTATGTGTGCACAAATAAAACAAGCAATGCTGCATTGTCACATATAGGTTTTGAGAGCTTATATTATAAAATTCCAACATTACTTTTTAGGTTTTTAACAAAAGCATCAGATCCTGTGGACACTTTTGCATCAGAATAACTTTGGCAATGTACAGAGAAACCTTTCCTAACATATCTTGATAATTTCATATCCAAGCACTTTTAATTATCAGACCATCATAGTTTCATCAATATAAATTATTACAATAACTAAATTCCTATCCATGAAAACCTTGGGTTGCTTTGAACCTCATTCTTAGGACGGCACCTTAAGCTTTCTCTAGAACTTCTTTTGATCGGGATTTAAAATTTTTATGGAGGTTGGTGCATGCTTCCATGGCTGCCCACTTCCTGATCTGAAAAAGACTCAGGGAGATTTGTGTAAATATAAAACTGAAGGTTAGTTGTTGAATTAAGAGTGGTATATGATGAAGGTAAAGCATATGCAAAAGAATAAACAATGTTAATGAATGTTTCAACACTGAGCAGGGAATAAAACAAGGACTATGATGTCCCCTAACTGTTTAAAGTCTTCATATATAAATGTATCAGCAGTGTTTATATGTGGTAGCCTGTTGTGTGGAATGAATGTGAGAATTGGAGAAATACAAATTGAATAAGATAGCAACTGTTTACTTAAGTGCCTGTTGTAAAAGGGCCAGGAATAAATATATGTTGAATGAATGTGCTTCCAATACAAAAGTGACTGATCTGTAGAACAAAAGAACATTGAAGTTTAAAAGAATGAATGAGGAAGTGAAAGAATGAATGAGGAATTGATTGCAGAACAAACATGAAGGAGGAATGAATTAGTTGAAAGGAGAGGCGAGATCAAGGATGGCTGAAATCCTGAAAACAGAGAGAAGTTGAGATAACAAAAAATAGTGAATGCACATGGTAGAAGCAGAGCAAGGATAAAAAGATTTGCAAGGATAGAAAGCTAAGGAGAGAGATATAATGACTGGCATTGTTATAAATGTGTATAGCATTTGATGAGTATACTGTTCATCTCCTTGTGATTGTGAAACTTTCAAATAGAAGACAGTATCGTGCTTATAAATCAATGTTTCTGGAGACATGTGCTTCCTGATTCAAAATTTTAGGAAACAGGCCATTGGCTTTTTGATATTTGTGGTCTGAGAGGGCTCTAGGATCTGGGGGAAAAAAAACCTTTGGAGGGGGTCATTTGTCACTGTGAGACTTCAGGTTGCTGACCTTCTCATTAGTTTCAAATCAAATTAAATTCTTTGTTACAGACATGGACCAGATGTAGATACAATTTAGTAACACTATTATAGGAGGGAAAGGGACTGGGATAAAGATAGCTGACCAATTTACATGAAAGACAGGAGAAAGAAGAGGAAAAGTAGAAATAGCAAAGAAGAAGTGAAGTGCCAGCCCACATTTAAGGGCAATGAGAACAGCAAGAAATGCTTAAATGTTAAGTAAGTACAAAGCTATATTGCTGTACAGCAATCTAGTAGAGTATTTAGATATAAAAGGAGAAGCTTCAGGTTTAATTCATCCCCTGTTTTTACTTAAGTACATAAGTTGCTTGTTGTCCTTTCTGAAAATAATGCCAGAAAAAGATATGTTTTAGTTTCTTTGCTGTTCAATATTTTAAAACATTTAGTTGTGGTGATACAATGCAGAAGTATATTCTAAAATAATAATGTTATACCTGGAATTGACAAAGAACGTAAATGACAATGATCACTTAATTGTTAATTATAACCATAATTTATAGTTATATTATATAAGGAGATTGAGAGAAAGAGAAGGAAAAGAAAAAAAATGATCCAAGGATGTTGAGTTGTGTAGGTGATGTCAAGATCTGAATCTGAAAGAAGGTAACTGGCATAGAAATTGTCTGTTCTCCCCAAATCTCACAATAAAAGAAAAGTTATAATGTTGTTTCAAAGATCCTTGAAGAAATTCCAGTAAAGGAGGCTTTAATTTGTATGTATTGTGTTAAGGACAGGAACACATAAAACAGAAGAAATTTCAATTCTGCTCCCAGTCCCATCATTCCCTGAAAGCTTACATAATTTTAGTTAATCTTAGAATCCTGAATATGCATTCCTATGCATTATAAAAAAGCAGCATATGAAATACTTTCCTCTGTACATCCTGAATATGTATTTTTCAGAGATGCATTTTGCAACAAACCCAGAATGAAGAGATTTCCCTTCCTAGGGCAAGCAAGTTTTGCTGATTACATGCAAATCTCTCCAAGGCCAAATTGGATTTGGCATCACTACAAAGTGAACATGCACCCCAAAGAGAAATAATTTTGGTAAATGAGTGACTGTTGTCCAGTTCTGGAACAATTCCAAAGCCCTCATTCGAACAGGGTGAGCCCGAATGATGGGGGGGGGGAGACTTGTTCTCCAAATATACTGATGACGGCCAGAAAGTCACAGCCAATACTATTGTCAGCAGTAACTATCCAGCAAGAGGATGAAAGGGGATAAGTGGAGTAAACAAATAAGAAGGAAGGATGAAGTGAAATTCAAATAGTGGCACAAAGCTGGGTCACAACAGAAAATAAAGCCATAGCCTCTTCCTTGTGAGATCTTTTGGAAGGCTGTTTCCCCTTAACCTTCTCTTATGTACGCTAATGTTTGAATTTAATGGGTTAGTATTAGGGCTGACCTTTCCTTGGGAAAAGAAAGCTGGCAATCTTGAATAGCAGCAGCACAGCCAACTTCACAATCTTTTCCTCTAGCTTTTCCCTTCTGATACTGACCTGAGTGTAAGTGCTGAAGTGAAATGTCAATCTTCTTTATGGGCTTTCACTGACGTAGATCTAACTGAAGCATAAATGTGCCAGCAGCTTTTTCTGCTCTATCCCCATGACCCCTCTTACCCCAGTCCATAAGTGTGACAGATTTCAGTCATCTTCAGTTGTACCAGTGTTAAGACAAGCTTAAAGTGGATAAAATCTGTTAGGCTTTTACTTCAGAGGGAAGTCAGATAATTGGCAGTAACTGGGAAGAAATACAGTAGAGGCAGGAAAGAATTTGGCATGGGGAACAGCAACTTTTCATGCTGGCATACTTTTCTGCCAACTCAAGGGTAAGTGGAGAGAACTTCAACTCAGTGGAGGAAAAAGACAGTATGTGAGATGGAAAGAAGTCTCCATCCTTTCCCGCAGGCAGCAAATTTTCATGGGTCAGTCTTGAAGACAAGAGTATAGCTGTCCCTGCTCTATCCAGTCAAATGTTTCTTTCAGTCCTACACTTATCTATATACCCTTTGTGAGTTAAACAGGGAGTCTGAAATGCTAAAGGCTGAAGCCACAATATTCCACTGTTTTCTAATTCCATCCCTAAAAAAGTAATTCTTCTTTCATTCAAATCAGTTTAAAACTTTGCATGACTGGGTTCCTAAAGAGAATACCTAGAGATGCTCTGTATCATGTACCCTATAGAGATGCAAAAAAGCAAAGCAAACATGAACTAGGCTTTGAAAGTGAAGGGAATCCTCCAGCAAGTTTGGGTAGCTGTGGAACCTTAAGGAACTATTTTACAGTCTGCATCAATTAAAGTAAGGATGGTGGATGGTCTAACATCTCTCTGCCAGTTTTCATCAGAAAATCTGTCCTGCTTCTGATATTTGAGGTTGCTGCTCAGAAGGAGCTACAAGCTCAAAATTCTTAGAGCACATCATTTCCATATTTAAGTCTTTCCCAGTGCAACTAATTGGGTTGTTGTCAAAACAAACCCTTCCCATAAATCTTAGAACTGCTGAAAGGGAGAATGGGAAGAAGTTCTGGGGAGACAGGAAATAGAAGGCAGGGCTCCTCCTTGCTTCTCCTTGTGAGGCATGTCAAAGCAAAGAATTCAAGTGAACAATTCTTTGAAATGCAGTGAACATATGGCCAAGCCCTATAGACCCTCTCTTTTAAAGTTCTTGCCTGCCTGCTGTCCTGTCCTTTTCGTGCTTGCAGCTACTGTGTACAAGTATTATTTTTTAAAATGATTTTTTTTTCCTTTGATAGATCCATGGGAAGTGCATTTGCAGACATAACACTGCAGGACACCATTGTGAGAAGTGTGCGCCATTATACAATGACCAGCCATGGGAGCCGGGCGATGGAAAAACTGGGGCAGCAAATGAATGCAGAAGTATGTGGGTCTCGGGGAGAGTGGGAAGGAGGGAGCAACACAATAATGAATCTTTCCAACCTACGAGCAAAGCCCTGGTGACTAAATCTGGATTTATGATGTTTTAGCAGCAGATGGGGAATGGTCTAAGAAAATGTACGAAAATTCTTTTAAGTCTTCCTTTCTTTTGCTCTTTGCATAAAAAGACATCAGCCATGTTCTGTATCCCAGCAAAATTCAGCTAATCATCAGAATAGAATTATTGACAGAGCAGAAATATTAGCGCTTAAAAGCAGAATGGGTTTTAGTCCCTCGGCTTCTGTTATATAAATCCTACATTCACTAGTAAATGTGTTTCTAGGTGTGCAGAACATAGAATTATGCAGAACATAGAATCATATATTCATGAATTCAAATGTAAAATATATTTGGCTTACTTGCTATGTTGCAAATTTAAATATATTATAAAATAAAACAAAGCTCTAGTTTTAAAGAGACCTGTCTTTTTTTACTGTTTTCTAATAAAACAGGTGACAATATGCAGTAGGATTTTTAAAATTTACCAGTTCTTAGCATTAAAGGGAAGAAAACATTTATTTTCATTGAATTAAGGGTAAAAAAAAAATGGCAACACTTTGTTTGCTGTTGTTTATTGTTATTACGCAGAATACGGTGTGGATATCAAGCTGGAATAATCTTTGGTAAAAATACACTGGATAAAACAAAACTTTAGCTATACTGTAGTGAAGTTCTTTATATTGGGGTAAATGATTTCTCTTTATAAAATTTCCAACTATTAGAATCCTTTTGTCTTAGAGGTATGGCACAATCCATCTCTGCTTCTTCCTTGTTTTGCTGGCAATTTTTTTTATAAGCAGGTGGTCAGCACTCCAAAGAAAATCAGGTTGAAACTAGTCAGAAGAGAAATAGCCTAAGATTAGACAATGGTTATTCAGGTCAAGCACAGCAATAAACAAATTTTATTTATAACCCAATGATTTTATAAGAAGTAAAGGAGGAAGAATTCTCTATCTTTCGCAATTGTTTAATAGCTTAAAAAAGCAACAAGGCAGCTGCCTCATTCACAGATCATAATAATAATAACGTAAAGGAATCAACTGAAATGCTACATTATTCAATTATTGTTATTTGTAGAGCAACCTTAGTTACTCTTAGAACAGGTACCGAAATCAATCCTACATTCCTTTACTCAAGGTATAATTTTTTTTCCAGACAGAGGGATGATAGATAGACAGACAGACATGTGCAGGCACATGCAGACTCACTTTTCTTCAACTATAAGTAAGATCCATGCTTTTCTTTCCCTGAGCCTCAGCTTGGCCTTTGCCTTATTTTTCTCTTTATCCTCCCTCTCTCAATTTCCCGCCTGCCGGCTACAGAGTGCCGCTGTCACCATCGTGCAGATAGCTGCCATTTTGACCAGAAGGTCTGGCTGGCCTCTGGGAAGAAGAGTGGTGGGATCTGCGATAACTGCAAACACAACACTGAAGGTTTCCGGTGTCAAAGGTGTAAGCCTGGTTTTTACCGAGATAGAGCCAAACCTATAACTTCTCCAGACATTTGCAAAGGTAAGTGGCTTTGTTTTGCTAAATGTAATACTGAGAAATGCACAAGGAACATATTTATCAATAAAATATTTATAGCTCACGGTCCTTGGTGCTCTCTGAGCGTGGTTATTTTCTTGCAGATGTTTCATTACCAAACTAGGTAACATCACCAATGCTAGTGGCAGAAGTGTACTGATAGAAGAGAATATCTGTAGCTGAGGGTTGAACTGTGTGTTCCCTTGGTGCTCTCTGATCTTGATTGTTTTCTTGCATATATTTATCATTATCAAACTAGTTAGCACTGATGATGTTACCTAGTTTGGTAATAAAATGTCTGCAAGAAAACAACCATGCTCAAAGAGTGCCAAGGAACCCACAGAATATGTTGGTAGCTATCAAAAGGAAAATGTCTTTATTCATTTCCTTTAAAGGTGCCCATTCACTCCTTTATTTTGGAAGGTTTCTGTCCCTTAAAAATAGAGATATTCATTTGTTAGCAGCTGAATGCAAACACATTTTACACTTTTTACTAATCCATGAACTAATATTCAAAGATTTTCCAGCTCTGTAAATTTTGCAGTATAGTTTGCCAATAATAAAGGTGTATTAGCACAAAATGAAATATCCTTCAGATTTATCTATTTAATGCCTTTACCATTGAAATCAGGATAAATATACATATATTTGTGAAAATAATGCATTGCATAAGAGATGTTTTAGAAAATGATGCAAAATTGCAAAGCAAAATGCATGCTTAGAGAAATGTCCACCAAACTGCATATGTATTTTAATATGCATATGTATTTTTAAAAATATATTGAAAAATCAAATTTGAACTTGACATAGTTATAAATATGGGTTGCTGAAGACATCAGCATCGATAGATTGGTCTATCCATATTGAAGACTTGCAAGCAATCTGAATCTACTACATGCTCCACCATTGATTTCCTTAGCCAAGAATGATTTGCTAATTTTAATTTTACTATGGTAGGGCTTTGCATCTCATGTGATCATAATACTTTCATCCCAGTTTCAGATTTCAAAACTTGGAGGCAAAATATTTCCAGTGCAAATGTCTCCCTTAATTAAAATACGAATTTCCATTTTGGAAATGGCTTCATGTTCAGGTTAATGAGTTGAAATTATATCCTGACATTATTATAGTTGTGGCTGTGGTGTGAAAACTGCTGCAGATCAGCTTTTTATCATGCAGAATGGATCACACCAGAAGTTCTGTGGGTGTCCAGAATGCCCAGGGCTTTTAAATAAGACCAGATGACAACTTATATTTGCCACCTGCATTTCCTTTAAGGCATTAATGTTCATTTCATATGTAATGTTGACACTATCATGGGGAGATAGGGCTAAAGTCTGCCTCCTTATTAGAAGTAAGCATTTCAATTGCAAAGGCAGGATCTCTTTTTTCCTACTACACCTGCTTTCCCTCCAAGCTTTCTTGACTCGAGTTACTGGCTGACTTCTGGGATTTCTCCTGCTGCTTTGATAGACTTAATCAAGGTTGCCTTTAAACTCAGGTTACATATGCTTTTCACACTGGGATTGCCAGGGCTCTGATGTTGTTCAGGTGACCTCCAGTTCACAACACTTCCTCTGTTTTTGCTCTTTTGTGTTTGCCTTTCTTGAATACTAGTGCTGGCTCAGCCTTCATACTGCTGCCCCTCTCCCCGCCTTCACCTATTTGTAACCTTTTGTGAAAGCACATGGATCAAGGATCTATATAACCTACTGGTATTGCCCAGCCGTGGTGTGTGACACCAAAGGATTTCCCTTGTGGCTCTTTCTTCCATTCTCAGAAGTTTTGCTAAAAAGGAAGCTTTGTAAAGTCATTGTTGCACCCGATTAAATTTCAAGACTTAGTTGAAAGAGTTTGCGTCCTTGTTCTAATGCCTGGTGATGCTGCCAACGCTCCTTAATCAGTAAGACGTATTATTAGATAGTCACCTGGAGGGGAACAGCTTAGAGGTAAAACTATTATAAGCTGTGGAAACTTTACTAAAGACTGCATGAATGAAACTGTATCTCAGTTTTCTTCATGGCTCTTTGATCTGATCTGGCCACTGACTGCCCAATATAGGAGAAGGCAGTTTCTCTCCCCCCCCCCCACTAAGTCTGTGTTTTAAATTCACCTCTGTGAATATTAGCATCGGCAGCTAACCAAATTATTCTCATCAAATAAGTCTCTTTGAAAATTACAAGCTATATTGGATGTTGTATTTGACAGCATTGGTTACCTATGTATTCAGTGATATTTTTGTCTTTTGACTCTTTTGTCATATGCCACCCTTAGTATTTGCTATATGATATGGAATTTAATACTTAACAGTTTATCAGATATCATAATTCCCTTCTGTAAATAGCAGAACGGATTAGATGCGAAAAGGTGTAAAGCATATTTAAAAAGATAAATACATTTGAAATTAAATTTCAGGTGTGATAATTTCAGATTCTCTGTTTAATTTTTAATTAAGTTATCCTTTTTAAGGATCAATCCTGCCCTTCTATTGCAAATACATTATATACTGTTATCATGCCTCATTTGTAACCATCAAAAACTTCATCACATTTAACATTTTTTTTCTGGCTTTGCCAAAATCTTGCAAAAAAAGAAAAAAACAAAGAAGGGTTGGGAGTCTACCTGAAGGATACAAAAACAACTTAAGTGCAGCTAGATTTATAGTCATGTGTCTCTTGCAGTATTTTGTTTCTTCTATGGATCTGCATTTGCACGCCTACCTCCCATAACTTTGAATGTCTTTAGTCACTCTGAGTACATTCTAAGCATCATTCATATGAGATGATGTCTTGCATCCCAAAGGTACACATTTGCAAATTAACCATATTGCATAAGGAGAGATGCTTGTTTCCCTCTGATAGTAACATAAGATGGATATGCTTATATAGAGTGACAGTATTTGTTCCTATATCACTGGGATCAGTTACTAGTAGATGTGAAAATGGGAATGACCTTGGGAGACTGGGCAAAGAGAGGCAGCCAAAGGTAGATAAAAGGCACCTGCCTGGGAATGTGCACAGGGCCTGAGGCTCAAGAGAGACCTCCCTAGTTTCTGGCTAGGGGATGTGGGGGGAAACATATTTACTTTCATCCCATCTTTATTGTTGATAAACAACTCAAGATGGTGAACATACTTAATACTCCTTCCTCCTCCTCCTATTTTCCCACAACAACCTTGACAGCTGGATTCGGCTGAGAGAGTGCCTGGCTCAAAGTCACCGAACTTGCTTTTTCATGCCTATGGTGGAACTAGAACTCATGGTCTCCTGGTTCCTAGGCCAGCACCTTAACACTAGACCAGGGGTAGGCAACCTTGGCTCTTTTATGACTCGTGGACTTCAACTCCCAGAATTCCTGAGCCAACCATGAGTCATAAAAGAGCCAAGGTTGCCTACCCCTGCCCTAGACCAAATTGGCTTTACTGTTATCCTTAAAGACTTGTAAGATTCTGTTAGTGTAATGTTACAGTAAAGTAGATTTAACTTATCTGCCTGTGTTTCCCGTCTGGTCTACCTTGCAAGGCTGACATCAGCATGCTGAAACTTTTACTGCCAAGTATTGTATGCTTCAGTACAACTGTGCTTCCCAATCATTCATAGGGATTTTTTTTTATTTGACATTAGTCGCATAACAAAAGGCAGAGACTCATTGCCCCAATCACATTTAACTTTGAAGATGCTAGGAATACAGCAGCTATGCCTTTCTTGACAAATTCTGGCAACTTTTTGTCTCATTTACCAAGACTAATGACATTTGTGGAACCCTGTCACTTTGCTTTTATTCTCCTGAAACCACACATATACCATATGCATAAAGAAGTCACTAGTAGTGTTTAGTTATGTTATGAGTCCTTTGAGTGATGCTAAGAAAATATCTACATGAGGCTAAAAACACCTGATGGTTCTTTCTTGCAATGTTTGCATATGTTTGATATGAATGTTGATTACCTTTAGAAAATGGAGCAGGATGCATGATCTCTCTTTTGGTATGTATTCTAAAAAAAATTACTGAGAAAACATACCATGGTGTTGCCAGTGTTGTGTCCATAAAATTGCTTTAAATATGTGTCTAGCATCAATAGAAGTTTTTAATTAGTGTTTTGTGCTTCTTGATTTCCCCATTGGTAGGTGATTTCACAAGAGCCCCATTGCCCAACTGGTTTGAGGACTAGCAAAAACATTTTACTGCCTGAAAAACATGTATTGTACATACATACATACATACATACATACATACATACATACATATATACATACACATATAATAAGTTGGTGTGTGTTTGTCTATGTATCTTTTTTCTTATCTGGAATATAGCTACTTATCCAATCCTGTTAAGTCTATGAAGTTTCTGATGTTACTGAATGCAGATTTGTGTTTCTGGAGAGTTGATACTTATTTTCATGTTTATTGTGAAGTCTGTTAGTTAGGGACTTCTAGAGGAGGCATGGTGAATTAAAGAAATCTCTGTGGAAGCAGAGCTGGCAACTGTGTCAAAAACCAAAGAGCCAGTGAGCAGAATGGTTCTTCAGAACTCTCTTGATAAGGAAAGGTTGGGAGATCATCCACATGTGCTCTAGTTGGCTGCTCCTCATGGAAACACCATAGGACAACTGTCTTCTTCAGGTTTGAGCACTAGGAGACAAAGGGATTAGCCATCTTGCTTCCAAATGCAGTAGAGCAGGGGTGTCAAACTCGCAACAACACGTGACGTGTTGCGACGTATTGCAACTTTTTCCCCACTGCCAGAGCTGGGGTGGGCACGGTTTCAGCATGTGGGCCGGCAGTTTGACACCCCTGCAGTAGAGTCTTTTAAACTACACTGCATTCACAAGCCTCACTTTCTAATGTCTTTTGGAAATTGCCTATTAACCATTTAGAAGCTATTAGAGATCTTTAGTATGACAAGTGTGAAAAGTCAGAGAGTGAGTTTAGCCTCAACTGAACCCAAAAAAATATCACAAGTTTAAGAACTTAAAGAATTTGAAATCAAATTCAAATAAAAAAGCTAAACAAGATTTTGATCTAAGAAAGTTATAAACAGATTAAGGTTCCAGATGAATTTGGAATAGTGATTTTACTATGAGATTTTGGAATTAATGATAAAAAAACTTTTTCATAGTTTCTCATGGGAAACAACTTATTTTAGCTATTTTGGTTCATAAAAATAAGTGACTTCATAATTTTAGAAACTGGGCTCTAGATGGTATTAAAGATTCTAAAGAGAAGTGAAAAAATGTAGCTTCTGGTATTAGTTAATTGAGACATGCAAAATGACACATAATGTCATAACTTTGGAAATATTAAATGAGATCTTTGAAGAATTGGCCAGAAATTAGTAACCACAATATCAACAATGTTCAGTAATGATGTATGATTCTATGGATTAGATTCTGTCCAAAATATGGACAGAATAAAGGAGTGACAGAAGCGGAGTAATTTTGTCTATTAAGACAGAGAAAGTGCTAAAAGTGGTAGTACAAATGATAGGCTAAAAGAATGATTTTAAGGACGCTTTATTGGATATGCAAAAAAAACCTAAAGCTTAAAAGTTAAAGAGGAATGATATATCAAGCAAATGACATGCAAAATTATTTTTACGGGATTTTGAAGAAGTCTGTGTGATGGGATAAAGAAAAATTGAAGAAAAATCAAATCCTATGACAACATTTGAATAAACTAAACATTAAGACTGTTAGAAATAAAAGGAAGGGATATAAAGTTAGTTTATTGATCAAGATTAAAATAAGACTAAAGATTAAGATTAAAATGTTTTAAGAAAGAGTGGATGCAGCCTGGGGGGAGTGGGCGGGTCGCACCAATGGTTATGAATTTATCTTATTTTAAAATTGAATTGTATTTTTATAATGTTTAAATGGAAAAAATAAAAATTTTCAATAAAAAAAAAGATTAAAATAAGACATTTATTTGCAAAGTTCTGGCAACTCTTTATAAACTTTTTGCCGACACTAGGGTTGAAAACTTGGTGTTTTATAGATTTGCTTGTAGATAAGGGGATGTAGAATGAAGAGATATCTATAACTTTTTGAAGATGAAAAGTAACTAAATTTGTCTACACTTGTTTTAATAAAGGTTGGAAATCACTTCTTTATATATTTCTTTCTTCTTTATCATAGTCTTCCTTTTTTCTTTATTCTTACACTTTTTATCCTTTCTTGATATTCTCTTTTTCCCCCTTAAGTTTAGATTGTATTAATTTTTACTACTGTAATCAAAATTTTTAACGAAAAATTACATGTGGAAAAAAATAACCTCTTTTAGCTGATTAGATCTTGGTTAAAATCCCACATATGGGACCTAAATGCCTTACTTATTGCACAATAATAATGAACCGAGGAATGGGGATGGAGCCTGGTATACAGTATACGCCAAAAGATCCCCTAAAAGAGTAACAGTTTATCACTAGATTTCCTCAGGGTATTAATTATCAGCCAGTTTCAGAAATGCTGCTTTCTTCATTTTGTGGAAGAAAAATTCAGTGCTGCTGCTTGTTTTCTCAACTCTAGATGATACCGTGCCAGAAAAACAGTCCAGGTTTCCAACCTGGTTTGCCTGCTTTGACATCCAAAGAATTGTAAAGGAGAAGATGAGGTTACACTTTAGACCAGTGTTTCTCAACCTTGACAATTTTAAGGCATGTGGACTTCAACTCCCAGAATTCCACAGCCAGCGTTGCTGGCTGTGGAATTCTGGGAGTTGAAGTCCACATGCCTTAAAATTGTCAAGGTTGAGAAACACTGCTTTAGACTCTCTGTTCCCTATGCATATTCAGAATAATTCTGACGAAGACTGTGAACAAATTGTAAAAGAGTAGGTTTTCTCATCATACGATCTGAGCCTATCTATACAGGCAGGTTCTTTCATCGATGGAGGCTCCTTCTCAAGTATTGCAGACGTTGATGGATGGGGAGAATCTTATTCCCCCTCGTGATGTACATTGAAGATAAACCAGAAGATGAAGGTCAAGAGTCAAACTGGCTGTCCTTTAATCAGGTTTCATTCTCAGAAGCTAACCCTCCACATAGCTCCACAGCTTTTGAGCCTTCATTTGTTCCACACTTTGTCCATGGGATCTTAATTAAGCAAAATGCCTAAGGGTTTGATATCATGTTCTAGGAATAACTCTTGTGTCTGCTTCTTTTCACTGGGAAAACACCATGATAAAAATTGCTGTGAAATACCAAAGAAGAAAACAACAAATTTGTCACAGTAGATAGCACAGATGTTTGTGGGATGAGCAACATAGTTCTCAGCTCCTTTTTGAGAAAACCATCCTGTCTCTCCCTCCCTCCCTTCCTCCCCCCCACCCAACCCCCCAGTGAGCAGCAAGTTGCAGAGTGAAGACAGATGAAAAGTCTGAATGAAATACCTCATTAATCCCTTAGTGAGAGCCTGTTTAAAAGAAGTCTTCCATTCAGAGAGTAGTCCTTGGGCTTGTCCTCAAGGATAAATCCTCAAGCTCCCAGGGGAAAAGAAAGGAACAGGATTCAGATGTGAAGATATCCCTCTGCTTTTGTCATCATGATCAAACACGTTCTCACTTGATCACCAGCATTGGGGACAGCAAGTTCAAATATTCAAACACTAGAACAATTCTCCTTTATTGACTTCCTCTTAGTAATGCTCAAACAGCTCTTCAAAATATGCACTGCCTTAGCCAAAATATAATATCTAACTATGTAGCTATATTTGTCATTTCCAAGTATTCTAGTAGATTAAAAGAATAACAGAATAACTGAGTTGGAAGGGACCTCGGAGGTCTTCTAGTCCAGACCTCTGCCCTAGCAAGAGACCCTATACCATTCTGAATAAATGGTTGTCCAATCTCTTTGTAAAAACTTCCAGTGTTGGAGCACCCACAACTTCTGAATTTACAAAGATAAGCTGTTCCACTGATTAATTGTTCTCACTGTCAAGAAATTTCTCCTTAATTCTAGGTTGGATCTCTGTTTGATAAGTTTCCATCTGTTATTTCTTGTCTTGCCCTCAGATGCTTTGAAAAATAGGTTGTCTCCCTCTTCTCAAACATTGGAAGACTGCTATCATGTCACCCCTACACCTGTACCCAGTTCCTGTAACCATTCATCATATTTTTCATCTCCTTAATCATATTTGTTGCTCTTCTCTGCACTCTTTCTAGAGTCTCAACATCTTTTTTGTATCGTGGTGGTGAGCAGAACTGGATGCAGTATTCCAACTATGGTATTATCAAGGCAGTATATAGCAGTACTAATACTTTATGTGATCTTGATACTATTCCTCTGTTGATGCAGCCATTGGCTTTTTTGGCAGCTACAGCACATTGCTGGCTCATACTTAGATGGTTGTCCACTAGAACTCCTAAATCTCTCTCATAGTTACTACAGTTAAGACAGATGTTCTGCTTCTGTGTGTGTATGGATGTATGAATTGGCACTAAATGACTGGTAGGCTGCATTCGCATTTTGATTTTAACAAAGGCTGTGGCTGTTAATAGTGGAGTAGACCTATGCCATATTTCCTCACTTAAAAAAGGAAATAGATGTCCATAGTACTATCTAACCTACTCCCACATACTTGTTTTCCCAATTTGAATCACAGGACCAAGTTGTTATTAATCTTTATGGGAAAGAGGGTGAAGAGAATCCAAATATAGACAAGGTTTAAGTTCCTGTACTGGATTAATAGAACTCCCAAGGGAACGGCATGGGAAAAAGAAATGGAAAATCTCCTTATTGTGTCTTTTTGAGGTGTAGATTTGCAATCCTATGAATAGATAGATGAGGTCCTTGGTATTCTCTGATCTTGGTTATTTTCTTGCAGACATTTCATTACCCAACTAGGTAGCATCATCAATGCTAGAGGGGAGTGGGGTTTGCCCTTCTAGCACTGATAATGTTAGTTGGGTAATGAAACATCTGTAAGAAAACATCCAAGGTCAGACAGCATCAAGGATGCACAATTCAACCCTGATCTATAAATATTTGTTTCTATTGATAGGTAGATGAGTTGCAATTTAAGTTTTAATAGGATTTATTCAATTCAGCTTTACAGGATTGTAGTTTAGGCTTACCATCTTATAGTTTGGACAGTTTAAAACATTTTATTCATAAAACCAAATCTAAAAATGCAACACTGAGAATAAGAAAGCAATCAAAAATCCTAAATAAGCAGGCAGAAAGGTAAACAAGCAGAAGATTCATTCCCTGCAGAAATCCAAATGCTTCATGAGTATGTTATTTATGGCTAGCGATAGAGACAGACATTTGGTTTCCATTTAAACAGAACTGACCTATTCATATTTCCTGACATATTTCAGGAATCAGAATACAATTATCCTTCAACTTTCACATTCTCTGAATTTTCAGATGTATAAGAGGAAATGCAGGCAGAGATTCATCAGTAACAGCTGTATCTAGTGAATATTTGGTATAGAAACTTAATGATCTTTCATCTTAAATAGAGGGCCACAAAGCAATAAATAATCACACCAGTATTGCAACATGAGTTTAAAACTCATTTGACTTAACTACTTCCTATACTAGAGCCCTTACTTCAAAATTTTCAAGGGGAAAAACCCGTCTGGTCTATTATAATTTTCTACTTTCTTTTCCAGCCTGCTCCTGCCATCCCATGGGCTCATTGAACATAACTCTGAACCAAGCCCAGAAATGCCATCCAAAGACAGGCTTCTGCTACTGCAAGCCAGGTGTCACAGGACCCCAATGCGACAGGTGTCTGTTGGGGTATTGGGGCTTTGGAGAAAATGGCTGCCAACCCTGTGCCTGTGCTAGAGACTGTAACAAGCATACTGGAGAATGTCTCCACAGGTAAACCAGCTGTCAATGCTGCAAATATTGTATATTCTTGCTTTTGACAATATGCAGAATTCTCTGGTAAATATGGGGTTAATAAAGAGCAGAAGGGGCGTTGGGGGTAAAGCCAGGGAAAGAAAGAGGAAGAAAACATTTGACCTTCACACTAATTGGATAGTGTGAGATATGACCGCTAATTTAGGGAGGGAACATGCTGATAATTTAACTGCTCAGAGGAAGAGAACTTAGATCCTAGCATCCCTCTGTTGTGCCTGTGCCGACATTTTGTAACAATAAAAGACTTTTAGGAAAATCAATGACTGGAAGTTCTTTGGAATGTTTCATTAGCCGGAACCACAACACCAGCTCTCGGTAGTGGAAACAGAGGGAATTTGGGAACTTAAGAGTGTTCTTGGGAAGGATCTCCAGGGCAATTCATTTTGGGTCTTTCCCAGGGCTTTTTTTGTCATAGAACGCCCAGAACAGAGTTCTGGCACCTTTTTGGGATGGAACCTTGTAGGGTAGGCATGGTTACCCCAAAGATACTTTTCCAAAAGGCAACTGGACTTTCTTGGTTTTTTTTTTCTTTGAAAACATTTTGATTTTCATCCAAGAAGCTTCTTCATTTCTGAAATGAACTAAAGAAAGTCCAGTTGCCTTTTGGAAAGGACCTGTGGGATTGTCAATTAAACACAATAGACCCTCAAGCTCTCAAGCATAGGCATTTCGACTGATCAGATATTGCCTAGAGGAGACCGTTAGGCAGTCAGCTATGGGAGAGCCTTATCATTGCTCTAGTGCTTTCCTTGGCCAGGCACAAGAAGGCATTGGATTGGCTCCAGTGCCTGAATTAAAGCATACCATCACAGCTGTCTGTAAGATTAATTAGTGGAACTTCGGGAGATCAGTAACATTAGTACCTTCAGTTAAGATAATATTTGATTCTTAGAATAGCCATCAGTGCCTAACATAAAGTATACATCAGGAAGAAAATTGTGTGTTTTTTTTTAAAAAAAGTTTTCAAATTATTTTTAAAACAAATAAAAAGAGGGTGAAGGAAATGAGATTCCATAACACTGGGGTTACCATGGAGAAGGTCCCGGTCCTAGTTTATTCCAGCTTTCTGGGCAGCGCCCTCGGAAGACCCCAATGGATCCACGGAGCTTCCAGGCAGTTAGAAATGGATGAATTATTTTCCAGGAAGCATTCCACACATCTTTTTGTGCAGCAATTGCTAACAGTTGGTTAAATGTTCCATGTTTCATTGGCTCCTTGGTCCTACTTCTGTATTATTGAAATAGATTAAACAGATGGTTAAAGAAAACATTCTGTAATCTCATTCTGTTCTTGTCTGTCTGCTCTTCTCTTTCCAGTTATGACAATTCGGCTTTTTTAAATATTCCTATTGGTGGGAGGATCCCTCACTTCCTCCATACCCCAGCCAACGAAAGTGAAAATGAATGGCAGTGGAGTGATCACAAGCAGGGTTTTTCAGCCTTGAGACATCCAGGTATGATTTCAAACCCCACCCCCCATCCCATAAATAGACTGAGAAAAATTAAAATGTTGATAAGGTATGAGAACATTTTGGGTTAATTAGAAATATTTATGATATGGTTTACAAAGCATTGACTAAAAATGATAAAAGTTCTAGGAACTTTCATGGCAACATATTCTATATTGAATACTGAAGGAGCTGCTGGTACGGTTCTACAGAGGAATTTATTGAGTCTGTCATTTGTAACTCTGTAACTGTCTGGTTTGGAACAACAACTAAACAGGACAGATACAAACTTCAACTGATAGCTAGGCCTAAGGACTTGTATACTGTACGAACCTGCAAGAGGGCTAAGAAAATATTTACAGACTCCTCACATCCTGGTCATAAACTATTTCAACTTCTCAGGATGCCACTATAGAGCACTGCATGCTAAAACAACCAGACACAAAGACAGTTTCCCCCCCCCCCCCCATCACTCTGCTAATCACATAATTCCCGCAGCATTGTCTTATGCCTAAGGATATCTAACCCTGTAGTACAGGGGTGTCAAACTGCTGGCTACCCCATTGCCGGCAATGGAGAAAAAGCTCCGATATGTCGCGCGACATCACGTGACGTCGCGAGTTTGACATGCCTGCTGTAGTAGGACTGTATTACTATTATCCTTCTCATCTTTCCTAAAACCCTACTCCTATTTTATGGCTATCACTTTGTTCGAGATATATTATGATCTGTGATTGTATTTTATGATTTATTACTTTGTTGCTTGTATGTACACTGAGAACTTACTCACCGGAAATAAATTCCTTGTGTATCCAATCACACTTGGCCAATGAAGAATATTCTATTCTATATTCTATATACTGCCTAACATCTTTTAAAACTGGTGGAATCCCAAAATTTCATGTTCCAAGTGAGCATGAACAGTTTCTGGGGCTGTTTGTGGTTCTTTTTTATGTGTGTTTTATATATATATTATTTTAAATTACAAGCTGCCCAAAATTGTTTGGACTTATTACAGCTTATTAATTGTATAAAAATATAAATAAAAAATAAAGTCATTTTGGGAAAGAAAGTAATTCTCCAAAATGGGGGGGGGGATTTGTAATCCTTTATTCTAAATTCTTTTAGCAGATTAAGTTTAACGGATTGGAGAAAGTGAATGCTTACATTCAATTATTTTACACAACTTGAAACATTTATACAACATCTCAGCTCAGGAGCTTACACTTCTACAGCTGTTTCTTAAGTATTAATTTATTGCAAGCATTTATGAAAATCTGGGTGACTGGTTTCTCCCTCTCCCTTTTTTTGTTTTTAATGCAACCCATCTTCTTTGACACATTCGTTTATGATTTCCCGGCTAGAAAAGTGTGTGTGCAAAGAGAGGATCCTTGGAAGCGTCAGCAATTTTTGTCAAATGAAATACGCCTACGGTAAGTGAAAGAAATTACTTTAAAAAATTGAAATGCAGAATAATTTTCTTGTTGCTTCTTCCATCTTCCAAAAATCTGAACTCTGAGTAAGAATGCTTCTGGGTCAAAGAAACTTAGGTTCTAGGCTTCCTCTTAAATAAAAATTAGGCAATTAATGTCAAAGAGGCCATAACAGGGACTTTTAAGGATTTCCTTTTCCATGCACAGAATGGCTGATCCATGCACACATTTGGCCAATCATAATTATATGCCCTCCTTAGCAATGCAACTTTTTTTCTATATTGGGATGCAAATCTTCTTTAGATGCCAGGCTCACTCGGTAGATCAAACAGGAAATCAACTGTGCAGGAAGTTGAAATTATAACAACACAATCTTGCAAGTCTGAATGTGCTGTACCTCCTCTTCTTATATACTCCACTCAATTAGGAAGGCATCTGCCTGACCTGTTTCCCATGTTATTTTGTTTCTCAGGGCTTAAAAAAAATACCCTTCAGCTCCTTTTGCCTCAGCAACAGTTCTTGCCTATTCTGCAAAGGCCATCTTTCTTACTTTGTACATAGGGTCAGGGATGGGTGTGCTGCAATTTATCTTTGGGCCAGCAATGTCTGCAGGATGGGTCAAAGCAGTTAAGATGGCTGATGCGACATAACAATGCAAGACCAATCCTTTTCTGTACAGGTGTTTTTGTTAATCTGCACATCGACACTCAATTTAGAGTTTGCAGGAATTCTTTGGATACCAGAGAAGGAGAACTTGAGAGAGATGCCTAGACTTTAAGCTTAAAACAGGTTTATTAGGAAATTGCCCAAAATATTTACAATGTCAGGAAAACACAACCTCAGTCAGCCAGGTGAGCTCTAATGGTGGGGGAAGATTTATGTTTCGGAATTCAATTCACAATTCACAAAGTAGTTGGGGCAAATTGTATAGCCCTTTCCCCCACTCTCCCGCCCTTTGGAATCCTCATCTCAGTTCTAGGATAATTAGCCAGGGGAAATCAATGTTTGTATTTATAGTCATTGCAAGAGAAGAGATTACAAGAGAGTAAGCAAGAACATGCCTTGGCGCTGGAAGCTTACCATGCTCCTGGCCTGGCTGCTTAGGATATAAAGCAAGCCTTTGGGACCAAAATGATTAGGATCATGCCAATTTCAGATAGCAATGCAAGCTGGAAAATCTAATTAGCTAATCAAGGTTGCAACTGAGCTAGCTTGCAGTTAGCACCTTTCAGGGAAGCACAGCCTGTGCACAAAGAAAAACAGTTTAGGAAGAGATAGTATGCAATTACTTCTGTCTGCAAAGAAGGAAACTCTGGGAAGAGGGGAAAGGGAGAAGAAAGGACAAAAAATATAAGGCAATCATATAGGACAACATATATGTGTAACATTGACTCTCATAGAAAAAGGGTGCGGCTTGAATCATGATGTCATATTTGCCACCTTGCCTATTTCAACTTCCTCATCCCAATATTTTATATCATGCATTATAAAAATAATATACTTTTTATCTGTCTTATAATATCTACATATAAAATCCTTTTTAATCAGTTATATTTCACTTATATATTAATAAAAGTTACATCAACCTCCTATTTTAACATTTCATATATTATAAAACATACTATATTACTTAAATCTCTTATCTTTTTTGTTATAAGGCCCCTTTGTGTTCAAAATTCTCTGTTCTTTTAGCCATATTCAAACAAATGTTTATTCACGTAATAGTCCACCTGGTAGGGCGAGTCAAATCTCTTGTATCTGTCTCTGGTCTTCTTCTTTTGCCGAGTAATTTTCCAAGTTGATGTAATCCGCTTACCCAGCAGTTCCTGTATTTTTACAAATGTTGTTGGGAATACAAAAGATGAAGTAAGATAAATACTTTCTGTCTTCGAAACTTTGATTGTTCTCCTGATAATTCAATTTTTCTTGTTGTATCAGAACCTTGAAGATTTTTTCCTGTTTGTGTCAAATTGTAATTCTTTTCCTTTGTTGTTTCATCAATTTGATCACACTCTTCTAATTTGTGGTCTGCTGTCTGATTTATTTGTGCCTTTGTTGTTATTTCCTGGGTATTTTCTAACCGTAAATTTAGATTGGAAATATGCTTATTTAAATCATCAAAGTTGTTTCAGATTTCCTCGTGGTTTGAGTCTATTGTCATTTGTATTTGTCCTAACATTACATATATTTCCTCCTGGAAAATATTTATCTTGCCTTGAAGTATTGCTTCTGAAGGCCCTTGATTTTCCAGGCTATGTCCTTCAGGAGAAAATATTGAATGTGGCATCCTGTCATTTTTTAATATGTATGTGATATTCATGTTCTCTCTCCCCCCTTCAAATAATCTTTCATCAATGTTTTAATTCAAAAGTCAATTTATCAGTCAGTCAAAATTACAGTTCAGTATGTTAAGCCATTTTAAATCCTTCCTACAGATTCTCCTCTAAAAGATTAGCCAAAAAGCCAAGGTTTTTCTTTTCCATAAACAGTTCTTAGATTTAAGCAACAGTCTTCCAAACACTTTTTAATCTTATAGCTGGCTCTTCCCTTGTTCCCAGCTGTCTTCAAGGTTATTTGCAATTCAAAGGAACAACTTTTTCTTTGTTTCTAGGCACTCTGCCAATTTCTGAGTTAGTGTTAGTGTTCTATTCTCTGAGTCTCCACTAGATGTCAACAGTTATTTCTTTTTTCAGTTTTTCTTTCAATCAAAAAGTTATTTTTGTTATATATTTTTATAATTCCATCAAAAACATTTTAGGATATAATGCTGACAGTTTTTCAGTTCCTAAATTTGTCCAGACTGAAGTATTTTAAATCAAATTTTAATATATTTCTTCCCTCCTTTAATATTAATTTGCCGCTTCCATCTGTAAGGGAATGGGGATATAGTCCCCTCCCTTCACTTCTGGAGGTTTTCTTGCTTTGGGGATTTTTTCAAGGATTTAGATAGTAGATAGAAGAAAGAAGATCAATACTCTCACCAATTCCAAGCACGCTGTTCACCGATGTTTAGGTTTGTGCTCTGGGACTTCAGCTGCAAGCAGCTTGGGATAGACACTGATCTCACGCTAGTCTTTCTCCTCTCAGGTTCGGTGGGCTTTCCCCAGATCAAACAAAGTGATTACCGTCACTTCGTGATCAAGGGGGCGCCCCTCTCCGGGGCAACTTCAGACCTATCTAGGGTCCCTCAAGCAGGAAGAAATTAGCCGTGGGGAGCGGAGGTCCGCTCTCACGCAGCTATGCGCTGTGGGCATAAAACCCCATCCCATTGATGCTGACTTGTGCCTGACCTGGTGGTTGCAGCTATTAATGTCTTGTCATCCTTGAAGTGGGCAGGGCTGAAGCTTTTGGCCCCGACTTATATTTTAAGGAGATGGGAGGAGTTTATAAGGAATGAAATAATTGGCTTGAACTGTGTGGATGCTGAAGATAGCTTTAGCGCCTTCTGAAATTTCAGAGCTTTTAAGGAGGAAATGGATACTCAACCTTCTGATTCCTCAAAAAGCCATTGTAAAAAGGCTCAAAGGTTCAGATCTGCCTGCACCAAGTGGCATCTTGGTAGCCACAAATGGGGGTTTCCTGCCCGTGGTTTATGTGATTCCTAAGCCATCATGCACCCTAGGAACAAGCTTCTATACTGTAGCTTCAGAAACAGAACCGTCTCATTTAATTTATATTGTTCTCATTTTAAGGGAATCAATCCTGGTAGTACATAAATGATAGGAGGAGATAACACCCATCCCCAATTATACATATTGATACTAGTATGAAAAGGCGGTTGGGTGAAGGCAGATTTTTAAAAAATTAAGATTGCAGTGTGATGGAAAATATAAACTTTCTTTCCTTGCATTACAGTTCTGGTTCTGTTCTGGTGTTCCTTTGGCAGTTGCTGTAATGCAATTTATATTTCACTTATAACCTAATTGAGCTTTAAAAAAAGCTGAGAAACTGTTTAGTTTCTCCTAGGGAATTCAGGGGAAAAGGCAGGACCTTTTGGTTAAATCTGTTCTATCTGTCTTGCAGTTTTAAGAGCAAAAGTTCTATCTGCTCATGACAAAGGAACCCATGCTGAAGTAATAGTGAAGATAAAGAAGGTTCTGAAATCAGGCAAAGTAAAAATCACCAGGAATAACCGAAGCATATATCCAGATTCCTGGACCAACCGTGGGTGTACGTGTCCTATTCTTAATCCTGGTAAGTATTCAGCCCCACTTTTCTAGCAAGCTGAGGATCGCTGTCATATCTTTAACACACAATGATGAAACTTGTGCTTTTTCTCACTCATATGCACAGCACAGATCCCTTAGTTCAGTGCTGGAGCATAGCATTAACATGTAGTACAGGGGTGTCAAACTGCCGGCCCATAGGCCGGATGCATCACAACGAAACCGCGCCCACCCCATTGCCGGCAATGGGGAAAAAGTTCCAATACGTCGCGTGACATCATGTGACATCACGAGTTTGACATGTCTGATGTAGTAGAATTCATCTCTACCTGTACTGATTTTATTTTTTTTATAACCACATTTTATTAATTTTTTATAATCACAAATCCTTAATATTTTATCAGCAACATCTTGTCTGGGTTCCAATGTTTAGCTTACTAATACATGTTAAACTCCTTTCTCTCTACCTCATTTTTCTAGCCATTGATAAAATGCATCCCATGTTCTAAAGTATTCTGAGTCTTCTTTCTCCTTCATTTTCAATGTAAGTCTGTCCATTTCTGCACAGTCCAAAATTTTCCTGATTATCTCTTCCTCTGCTGGTAATTCTTCATCTTTCCAATTGTTGATACAATTCTCACTGCTGTTAATATAATGATTAAAAAGCTCAATTTGAAGAAAGAAAAAATTTTGTCAGAGAATTACTGTCAACACATGATTCATGGGTTCACACATGCTCAATCAGGTTTTTTTTAACAACAGTTTGCTGAAGTCAGGATTCGTGCAATATGCAATAGCGAAACAAACCATGATGGCTACAATCATAGAACTTAGAAAACATAGAATAACAGTTGGAAGGGACCTTGGAGGTCATCTAGTTCAACCCCTGTTCAAGCAGGAGACCCTATACCATTTCACACAAATGGTTGTCTAGTCTCTTCTTGAAAGATTCCAATTATGGGGCACCCACAACTTCTGAAGGCAAGCTATTCCACTGGTTGATTGTTCTGTTAGAAAATGTCTCCTTAATTCTAGTTTGCTTCTTTCCTTGATTAGTTTCCATCCTTTGTTTCTTGTCTTGCCTTCTGTGCTTTGGAAAATAGTTTTGATCCTCAGCTTTGCGACAGTCCCTCAAATTTTGGAACATTGCTATCATGTCTCCCCTACTTCTTCTTTTTGCTAGAGTGGACATACTTAGAACTTGCTAAGCCCAAATCAACAGATCACATTATTTCTGCTAATCTGTATAGCAACTTCTACACTCTCCATTTGGGATCTGCATTTATTTATATCCATGGGGCTGAGTGGGTACAAGGGTTACAGATAGCATGGTTGTGAGGCAGAGGTGTCCTCAATGGGTGGGTTTGCATATTTTCCATTTTATGTATTTTTCATGAAAGTCATATAGGTACATTAAGCACAATAGAGACATAGCACATATATTTATTTACTATTACTTTAATTACAAAAGTGCAGGTCTGACTCCCGATTCCACTGAATCAATGCATTTCAGTGGCCTCATCATTGATCTTTGAGGGTTCGGTGTGTGCAAAACAAGAATGGCTCTTTGTGCTTGGTGTAGCACATTGTGTGAACTTATCTGCTGCAGTTCTTCAACTACAGTTCGTGCTTTGCTATATTGTATGCACTTCAACAATCATGGTATATTCCGTAAACTATAGGTAATCCAAACATGGATTAGCACAATGTGTCAACTAACCCACTGTGAGCCAGCATAAGACTGGATATAGATCAGCATAATACTGGATGTTGATGGGATATCTTGTGATACAGGAGCAAAGTGAGGGATTATTGTCTACATTCTGAAACATTCTTCACAGCCTGGTGCCTTTGGATAAGTTGTATTTTAATACCTGCAGTCTGGCTGCACTGACTAGAGCTTATGAGAGTCAAATCCAGTCGTTCTGAAGGGCACCGGTTATAAGAGTGCCTTAGAGAACTCGCCAGACATGCCCATGGACTGATATGCAGATTCTGCTGTCTTCTCATTCTTGAATTCTTCGCAGCATAGGCCAAATTAAGTCTCCAGCATCTTGTTTCACGTTTCTCTCCAGATGTTTACTGGTCTTTTTTTCTTTACCTTTTTTAAAAGAGAACCAGTAACTATTGCTTTTTCACAATTCAGTTGGCAACAATTTAGCACACCAATTTGAATTGCATAGCAAATTAATTCATTTGCATTCATTGTTGAGCCCCGCGGGGCCGACTTACACGGGCTGACGGGGACCCGTCTGCCACGCTGCCGCCGCCCTGCAGGCCCTCACCATGGCTCTTTCTCGGCACCAAGGAGGCCATTTTGACATTCACGTTTTAAAATGTTTTCTCCAACTTAAAACTACATGCTTCATAGGATGCCACAAGCGCACTTGAAAATAAAGTATTGAGTTTGACTCTTGAGCATTTCATGGACATGCCTGAGTATCATCTTGGCAATACCATGAAATCAATTTGCTATTGCTGTTTCTTTCAGGATTTTTAATTTTCCAGTCTAGGTTAAGTACAAAATTTCCTTGCTCTGCAAGGAAACTCATTAACCTTGTAATTAAGTAATTTGCATTTTAAGTTATCTTGAGCACCATGTTTAGGTGGAAAGGGAGAAGAAAAATTAATGAATGATCTTAATTAAGATTATCCCTGTAAAGTCTTCTGGAAAATCTTTGATTCTTTACCTTAGTTAATATTGAGATTTGATTCTTACAATATGTAATCCTTTTTCAAACCAGGTGTAGACTACTTAATAGCAGGACAAGAAGATGCACAAACGAACAGACTCCTTGTGAACATGAACAGTCTGGTGAAGCCCTGGAAAGCTCACTGGGGGAAGTTTGTTGCAGATATACTACGAACTGGATGCAAATAATGTATTTTTTTTTCAAGTCAAGTCACCAATTTGTACACTTTCATAATATGGCAGTGAAAGCTTAGTTCTCTAATGGCTAATCATAACTTTTATAATTAAGGAGAATTTAAAAGCAAACTCTCTTTCATTAAGTGCTTTAGGCAGAAATCTTGTTCCAGTACTTCTTTTGCCCAAGACAACAATCCCCTCTTTTACACATTTGTTAAAAAAAATGTAAAGACTGCTGAATTAACCTCATGTACTTAGGCTCATAGCCTGGCATATAGTTTGCTTTATGATTACAGTATCTAGAGCTTTCAAACCCACCAATACATATACTTGTAACCGAGGCCAATATTATATTAGGCTATTGATGAACAATCAGTACTAACAGAAAACTAGAACTCCTGCACTATTTATTTTTCTGGAGCTGGATTTTTTTTTTTTTTACAGTAACTATGAAGGAAGAGGAAAAATTTGCTAAGTTACAGGGCTACAAAACATCATTAGTTGGCCTATCAGATGAGTCTTGCTTTTTTTGAGAGGCCTGTTTTAAAAGCTGTTATTTTAAGGTAGCCTTCATAGCTTTCAGGTTCTTCAATGTCTTATGTGTTCTATTGAAATTTGCACTGGAATTGAAAAGATATTGTAGATGTAAAGTGTCTTTGTGTCTACTTCATCGGAGAAGCAAACAGCAAAGTTATTGGGAATTTGAAAGGCAGCCGGAAAGGACTTGGAACTGCAGGATTCTGGGAAGTGGAGGTCCCAGTTCCTGCTGTAGGTGTCCCCCTAAACTTCCTGATAAAATTCATGGGAAAAGAAGATGACTGGCAATCCTCACATTAGAATAAAAATAGCTGACTATGCAAAATTTGATTACTACCAGATTCCAAAGATTTGTTTTCTATAGTGTAATTCCCACAATGCAAGGGTCCAGAGAGTTCTGGTTTTCAAGCCTGGTCATTTTCACCAGGTTTCCAGCCTGGTCTCACCAACAGTCTTCTCCTGTTTTGTCCTGCATTTAGCATCCATTGCATCAAAACAAATTCAGAAAGACCATTGCTATGGAGGACTTTAGGAGCCTACCAAGTTCTCTTAGGAAAACAAATGAGGCAAGAATTCAAGAGTTTTGTACATCAGCAGAAGTATTGGAATTTGCTTTGGGGTTAGCAGATTTGCGACTGGATTGAATATAAGACATACCAAATTGTTGATTTAAAGACTAGCTGCCTCTTCAAACCAGACACATGGTCCTTTTTTGTTTTCTAAGTTAATATTTGATGTTCAATTTCCGTTGTGCTCATTTCATCTAGAATGCTCCATATCACCACTTTGTAGCTTTAGTCACTTGCCTTCTTCATGCTGGATGCGTATTGAAGACATGTCAAAGAACAGATGTTTCTATTCATATTTATTATTTACTATTAGCCAAGGTTCTTCTAAGAAGCAGTGCTCCAAGGCAGATACAGATGAACACCACTAACATTGCTGCCCTTTGCTCAAGCAGAGACAAGTCAGAAAAGTACAATCTGTGCTGCAGAAGAATGAGAGTGACTCCCTAGCAATAATTTGTACTTCATGAATGTCATAGTTGTGGTTTGAGACATTAGATACCAATGTTGAGTAAAGAAGTCTTCAATCCTAAAACAGCCATTAAATCCAGACATTTCCATATAACTTGTGCTGGCGTATGATTGATGTACATTGTTTATACCATTTCTTGTTCCTTTTGAAAGGCACTAAAGTGTTTGCACTAAAAAAAATAATCTCTCCTAAAATATGGGCAATAAATTAACGGAAGATAAAGTCTAATTTTGAATATATAGTTAATGTCTTTTACTTAAGCTTTGGCCAAGGCGTTATAAATCTTACTGCCCTTTTAATATAGAATCTGTTATGCATGTCAATTAATTTATGGACACAGGGCTTTTATTTAGTTCATCACAGTTTCAGTTAAAATGCTAAAATCATTTTGGACACATTGTATAAACTATATGTTTATATTATACTGTCTGCATTTTTTTCATATTTTGCCTGATGAGTGTTCTATCAGATAAAGAGGTAGATGGTCTATTGCTAAACCTAAGGGATTTCATTTATATAAAACATTTGGTTAGGAGCTCTGCTTTTATAGCTGCTTGCAAGTGAAAAGGCAATTCAAATATCCAAAATTTAAATGAAGAGGCAAGGGGAAAAATGGTAGAATAGGATATGAAGAAAAGTAACAGCAACAGAAGTGGGAACCCAGAGAATGGCGTTCGCTCCATTTTCACCAGCATATTTTGTATATTTTCTACATTTTCAAATAATTGAAAGTGTGGATTGGAACTAGGGAGTCCCAGGTTCAAACTCCCACCTACCCAGATAACTCACTGAGTGACCTTAAATTCCTCTTAGAAAAATAGAATTGTTGCAAGGCTAAAACTGGGGGAGATCCTCATGCACACTAATTTGAATGTCAAAGAAAAACAGAATGTGCAATTAGGTACAGGAAATGGAAACAAAAGCATGGCTAGACTAAGCATGTGATCTTGAGATATCTGAATGCGATATACCTTGACTATAAGCAGCACTGATGTTAACCTGATGAAAATGATTACAAAAGTAAGTGTTCAGCTAAAAATGATGGCATTGGTTGAACTTTGGTCCTATTACTTGCAATAGGCAGTGCTTTTTTTCTAAAAAAAAAAAAAAGGTGCCGGAACACACACATGTCATACAATTCACCTTGCCTACCCTACAAGGTTCCATCCAAAAAAGGTGCTGGAACTCCATTCTGGGTGTTCTATGAGAAAAAAAGCCCTGGCAATAGAGATGTATGGCTTATTGGCTACAGTGATTTAAACTGAACATACCTTAAGGAAATTTAGTGTTACAATATTTAAATGCAGACCTAGCAGCAATGCCCTTTAGACCAGTGGTTCTTAACCTTTTTAATGCCGCGACCCCAACCGGTCGTAAGTCGAGGACTACCCAACCGGTCGTAAGTTGAGGACTACCCAACCGGTTGTAAGTCAAGGGCTACCCAACTGGTCGTAAGTCGAAGACTTTCCCTGCCCGGGAGCGCCACGCATGCGTGGTGCCGCCCCCTGCGCCGGCCGAGGCATAGCTGGCAAGCAGCAGAGATGGAGCAGGCCGACCACCGGCTGGGCCACCGGCTGGCCCAGTCCAAGGGAAATAAGGCACCCGCCGGGCCCCACGCGCGCCAGCAACCCTCCCTGCGCCCGCCGGCCTCCCACGTCCCACCCCTGGCCCTCTTTTACTTACATTTTTAGTAGTTGCTCAGCAGGGAGGGGTGGAAACTTCCAGACAGCTCGCCTTCGCTGCAGACAACTTGCAGCACCGTTTGCAGAATGGGACTTTTGGCGGGCTCAGCAGGGCAGAGACAGCCCGGACAATTCCTATTGGCTTTTGAAAGCCAATAGAATTAGACTCTATTCAAGAGAGTCTATTCTATTGGCTTTCAAAAGCCAATAGAACAAAAGGGAGTAGCACAGCTAAGGAAAAGGGGAAAAAAATGACGGATTGCGTTGTTTGGCGACCCCCGTGAAATGGTCGTTCGACCCCAAATGGACCACAGGTTGAGAACCACTGCTTTAGACATTAGTTGGCTTTCTGAGAATCCTATGGTGAACAGACATATCTTAGAGTGCTGTTGTAATGGCTGACAGCATTATGCAAAAGCAGTTTCTAATAGCATTCTTGCCAGAGAATGTCTTATTAACCAGATGCAACAAAATTGGTTATATAATAAATCTTTAAACACAGGGGGAGGCACCAGTTTCTGATAGATAGCCCCCGATTTTCCTTTTGACCTGACCTGGTTAAGTTCTATTCACAAATGCACTCCATCCGATTGCTCAGGACTTGTTCTCCATGGAGAGCTGCTTAGGGGTTTCCTTTGACATCTGTTTCACTGACATTGTATGCAGGCTGAAGAGGGGTTTTTTTTGACACTTTTTCTGAAAGGGTCAAACTGGTGCTTATTTTTTACTCCAGTAAATGAAAAATGTGTGGCAAATAACAGCTTCCTTGGAACCTTTGAGGCAAGCGAGGAAATACTTCATATTCAAACTAAGAATGGATTTATGTCTGTTTTCCTAATTTGTTATAGAGTTTATTTTTTCCCTTCTTGTTTTTTGTGTGCTTTTTCAAAACGTAAATGTCACATATGTCACATTAACATGAGTTAATCAAAGTCAGCAGATGGATGGGGTATATAGTACTGTGTGCTTCTGTCCAAAGATTATTTGGTTCGGTAGAGACATCCATGAGAAGAGAGAACAAATTTGATTTTACACAATCTTTTTTTTTTTTTTTATAAAACTCTGTTGACCCTACATTTATTCCATGTCCCTTAGATTCAAGTTCCCACATTTTGGCAGATGCAGGGCATCAGACCAAAGAAAATAAGTGAAATCACCTCTTTTCTTTCCATCGACATCCATATATATTTGAACAAGCCCTTGCTTGAATGAAAGGATATAATCTTAAAAATTGACATGTTTATTACACTCCTGCAATATTTTGTAGCAGAAAATCTACTTTAAATATGATTTGATCATCATGGCTATATAGGACATTTACATTGAAAACTTAGGGTTAAGCTAAATTATTAGATAGGTTGGCTTAATACAAAGAACATCTATCCACTGATGATTCCAGAGCACTTTGTCCCAGAATTCAGATCACAGGATACCAGAATTTTCCTCAAATGAGAAGGCTCCAGGTAGTCTTTGTTTAAAGATCCTAATTGAGAAAGGACTTTTCACTACTAAGTGAAATGTTTGTTAGGAGGAGTATCACACAACCATGCTTAACAATGGCAATTCCGGTAGTCCCAATTGCAGTCCTTAGACAAGACCACACACTTCTACTCTGTGCAAACTGTCAACTCCAGCAGAAGCCTGAGGTTCTTGCCTAACAACAGCAACTGAGACTACCAGAGCAGGGCCTGATGAGCTCCCTTTGGCAGATGAGACCCTGCCACGGCTGCACTTGCCTCTGGTTCAACTCCATCTGTCTATCTCCCTTTCTCCATCTCTGCCCCTTTGGAGGCCCTATACCTTCCTGTCAGTGCCTACCCATTGCCCCAGCTGACTTTTGCCATCCTTTTCCTCCTGCTGGCCTGGCATCCACGTGCTGGGTGAAGGCGCAGATCTGGGATGTGCACAGCAGACCCTCACCTGTTGAAGGGAACATGCTGGACATGGATAGGGAGGAAGCAGCAGGATAGAGCTGGGGACAGAGACCGTTAGAGGTGGGGGAGCAGTGCAGGTGGCTTGCTCAGCACTGACAATTGTCACTTTCTCCTGGGAAGAAGACAACAAACGCCATCTGGGGGGGGGAGGGCAGGGGTAGACAGTAAGGTACAGGGTGGCCAAAAGGGCAAGGATAGGGGAAGAGAAGTAGAGATACGCGGGTAGAGTGAGCTAAACTGCATATTGTGGTCATAAATGTGGCCCAGTTGCCAAGTGTCCACAATTTGATCATGTGACTATGGTCTCAACTTTAAGGACTGGTCGTAACTATAAATGGTCACTGAATGAATGGTCATTAAGTGAGGATTGCCCATTTGAACAAATGAATGTAGTTTGTCACAGGGAACAGTCATTCGCAGTAACAAAAGACACGGGCTTCAATGTAAAGTAAAAGGAATTCACTTTTAATATACAGTCAAATCACAATATTTATGCAGAGGTTTGTTACCCCAGATAACATTGCATTTGTCTCATTAAGGTCAGCAACCTGCTGGGAGGGGTTTGAACACAGGAAACCCTTCAAAACAGGAATTATTAGAAATATTAAGGAACACAGTGGCCAAAGTTTTTCTCTGTTTGCTCAGTTATGGCAAGGCCTGATTGAGGTTTATTTTAAAACGGGAAATCAATATACTAACATTAATTTTCTATTATTAAAAATTAATTATAGATGCAAACTTCCTGTGCCATCAAGCATGTAAGGCTGACTAGCTGAAAATTTTACTCAGATTTCTGAATCTTTTTGGTTGTTCTGAGAAATCTGTATTAATTTTCATCATATAACATCTTGACAATAGCTAACAACTGAAATTTGGTGATCCAGTATTCTTGCTGTCCCCAAAGAGGATTAACCACCTTTTGTTCTTCAAGCCAACCTACAGACTGAACATAACTGGAGAAGAAAAGTGATAAAAGTACTGGTGGTGTCTACATTTCTTCTATACTGACTCTACTGCAATATTTCGTTGTTAAAACCATAGGGCTGAAGTTTCTTCTTCACAGTAAGTGAGTTCACATGATAACAGTATACGGAGAATGCGGGATCAATGAGGTGGAAAGAAAGATAGGAGAGAAGATACTTTGCCTGTCTAAAAGTCTCTAAATATGGAAAGGAGACCACAGCCTCCATGCTCGTTCATTAGCTAGACCCATCCTTTTCTTTGTCCGCTGAAGGAGTAGTTTCTAAATTTTTGCTTTGATTATCTTCTTCATCTTCATCTTCATCTTCATCATCTTCCTGAGGATAAAGATCCGGGTATTTCTGCATACATTCTTGCATTGCACGAAACTGGTCCACACAATCTGATCCTTTAATTTCTTCCTTGCTATAATGAAAACAGGAAAATGCTGACTTGAATTGTTCCCCGCAAGGACCACTAGCCATTCCACCAAGGCACGGGCAATTCCAGTTGATATCTCCATTAGGCAATATCAAACCTAAGAGAAGAGGAAGAAAAGGTAGCAACTTACAAAACTATTTTATATCGAGACTTATATACTGGGTGGATTCACGCAGAGCACGACATAGATTCTTTAACTATATTCAGAGTCTAACTTTATTCAAACACAGTTAAGTTGAAATGTTTATTAACTTCAGTTTTTATAAGCTGCTACAATCTGCAGACATGTTTATCATACCCTGAACCAGACAAATTACATTTTACTGAGCATTATGAGTGATCCAAGTCATTAAGCTTCATAGTTTGTAGGAACCTAAGTGATAAATTCTATATTTTGAAGTGACATCAACATATTTGGTGATGAACA